CTAACTTCCCCCCCTTTTGACCGATCTCAAAAAAAATATAGAATGTCAAATAACTTACTAAATGCAATAAGTGTGCCAAGTTTCAGGAGAATCGGCTGACCCCCATGTAGCACCCACTGCCTGGTTTTGCCTGGTTTTCTCGTGGACACACTCTTAATTCAGTTGAGAACAAATAGTTTTATAGTGAAACAGTTCTTAGTGATTCCAGTAGACTTTTACAATTATAATCAACTGAGCAATAGATAAATAGTTTTTGGTCGAATGATAGTGGCAACAGACAAAGCCTTAATGCCTCCTTGTTCTGGTTGGCACAAATTAATAGGTCTGAAAAAACATGTAATCGCATTTAATCTATTAAATTTTTCTTTAAACTCTGAGTTGATTGTTTTGATCTTCCTAATATTTAGAGATATAAGCTGATGTGGTCCGCGAGAAGCATAAGCAATATAATTATATATATCCCGGTTATAAACTCCTTTCTAATGGCGACACATCTAGGAATTAATGCCAAGTAAACATAATTCAGTCACTGAGAAGCAGAATTAAAATTTCTCTGTATGATCCCTGCTGCCCATCCAAAGCAAATTGGATGCAAGAGCTTGGGAAAGAGCATTAAGACCACCGTATGCTTTCGAAAGACCATCTTGTTTCCGACTACGAACCAATCAAACCGCCACGAGAGGTATGTAAAGTGGTCAGGCGCGTAGCAAATAAGATAGATAATCACAATCCAGTAGATGATTCTTCGTAGCTTATTCTCCAGCTCATTTATGATGGGGAGTGGTTCGTTGGTCGTCCCGTCCTCTTTTTGCTCCTCTTGTTGCTCCTGCTGCTCTTCAGCATGTCTCTCCTCAGTAGGATCTTGTTGGATGTTTTGATCTTCGTGGTTTTCGATGGCAGGGGCACGCCCTGTTGATTCTTGGTTTACGATATTACCTTGTGATTTGCCGATAAGATTTTTGATCTTCACGAGTAGTACCCCATATAATAAGATCATCACTGCAAAAGGGACCAACAGCCGGGATACAAACGTCGCAATGCCGACATATATTCGGATGGCCTTGTCAGAGCGCCGAAAATTACACGATATGTGCTCTCCGCCTTTACACAGAGGGTAGACTGCAATTTTTGCCACAACTGAGAATGGAAGGGAAAGTGCAAGTCCCCATAGCCATGATATGAATACTGAGACAAGCACAGCTCTTCTTAACTTGGCTGTATTGGGCTTTCTTAATATGAAACAGCTGTAAATTGAGAAAGTTGCAAGGCTCGAAGATACCACGATTGAACAACAAATATTGGCTGAAAATATCAGACGGCACATGACCATACCAAGCATCCAGTGGCAAGGGCTCGTGAAGTAGTAAAGCCGAAAGGGGGCTACTAATGAACYAATAAGCTCAGCCAAAGCAATGTTAGTGATTAGGATGTAACTGATAGGCTTGCAGCGAGTTAGGTAGATTCCACGTAAAACTATAGAAACCTTTATTTATTAAAAGGCTCAGGGTAACCCTTTCAGAGCCCCGAGGGGCACTGCTATCAATAGGGGCCTAATGTATTCGCAGCCACGGAAGGGATGAGGATGACAGCTGCAGCTACGTTGAGGTAAACATCGACTGATCTTGGAACATCGTGCAGCGGCTTCGAGCTATAGCAATTGTCACTGGTTTTGTTCACTAAAACAGAAAAAGGCCAAATTCTTTTTGTTTTTACTCTTCCGTATGAAATTGACCGATAACAAAACGAAAACCGGGACTGGGTCCAAACTTCAAAATCTAATTAAATATTGATGGTTCCAGGAAGAATAACCCCATCATGTGAGAGAGCACCATACAAAATGCTTCCTGACTAAGTTTCATATGTTTGAACTTATAGCAATAACACTTCTTTGTAATTTTAGAAATTAGAAAAAAAAATTCCAATTTCCAATGACTTAAACTTCCTGAAACTTTAAACTTTAGCTAACTTATATGTATTTTATCTATCGACAATAGATTTCTGTAGATTGTAAACAGCAGGGACATTTGTTGGCGCGCGCTGACCGCACGTATATCGCAGGCAACGCATGAAAGTTGACGTTTTTCATAAAAAGGCGGGAATGAAAGACTCTTGAAAATGCCTCACTTTTTGTTCAAGATCAAAAGATATTTGAGAAAATTCTATCAAGAATAGCGAAAGAATGGGGTCTTTTGTTCACAACGTGCTTGTTTTTAAGCGAAAATAATGTCTTATTTGGAAATGAGAAGCGATCTTCCACACAGGACACGAACGGCTGAACATTTTATGAAACCACACTATATCATGAAAAGTCAAATTTCTCAACAGTGAGATCAAAAAAGCCATCCATATCTGGTGTATTTTGTCACAGGGA